GTTGGCGGCGAGGACCCGCTTTCCGCGCCCAAGCTCCAGGTACACAGCTGCGAGCTTGTCAACACGCGCGCGTGTGCGCTACGATGGCCTCCACCCCCGCCCCCAACCAACACCTTGGCGCACTTACTCATCCTGTGAGTTCTGCACAGATTCTGCTCTATCTCTGCCAGAACCTCCCGCCGTCGATTCTCTTTCCGCAGGCCGTCGCGTACGCGGTCCTCGCCCTCTCTTGGCTCCTGTACTGGAATTCACCCTTTTTTCCCCGTGTGTCGTGTGGTGTGTATCAGGGTGCTCTATTGGATAATGAACGGCGTGGAGACGTGCTGTGCCCAAGTACTCAAGAACGGGCTCGAGAGCGTGACGGTGCCGACGTCCGCCCTAATCTACTCCCTCAGTCGGAAAGGTCCCCAGATGCTGCAGGTCCGTACCAGCTGGCACCATAACACGACCGCACACGCACACAGTGCCAAAAGAACCTCACACCTTTTATGGTTGGCATGCCGGCCGATAGGAAGTGGAGTGCTTCCTGTTTCAACACCTGTTCCACCCCCACTTCCTGTGCTCGCAGCTGGCCGTGGAGCTCCACAGTTTTGTGCTCAGCAACGCTGACGAGGCGCTCCAGCGACGGCACATCCAGCTGCTCGCCAATCTGGTCCGTCGTTTGCTCTCTCCTCTCCTCTCTCCTCGTTGTTTGTGAGCGCTCGGCTCATCCTCGCTGGTGCGCGCCACTGCAGATCAAAACGGGCGGCAGCCGCGTGGTGGAGTCCCTCGCTCCGCTCTTCCCGTTCCTCGTCAACTCCGTCTCGTCGTCGGCCAAGGTAGGTTTATAAAGCACTCAATATTTAGATGTGTTGTTATTTTTATATGAGGTTAGTTTTAACATTGGACGTTGCTCGCTGCTTACACCTGTTCGCAGGAATTCCTGCTGCGTGAGCTCACGGAAGATTTGCTCAATGGACAAACCAAGAGCGCCGCATCAGAGGTATGTGTCGTGTCGTTGGTCGTGTCGTGTCGTGTGGCTATTGGTGCTGATGAGCGGACAAATGGCAGGAGGCGATACTCTATCGACTGGCCGCATTCCTGCCGGCGTGGACGATGCGACCGGGCGCTACCGAGCCTCTCACCACCGGCACCGATGCTCTCCTTGGCCAAATCGCTCGCCTGTGTGTGCGCCAGTTCACCTCGCAACACGTGCTCCCGCCACAACTGGTACAACACACACACACACACACACACACACACACAACCGCACGCGCACGCGCACGCGCTGACACTCGAGTGTACGAGTAGATCAGCGTCGCGGAGTGCCTGGTGGCGTTAATGGCCTACGAGCGGCTGCCGGAGCGGGACTCCACGGCGCGCACCCTTCTGGAGTCCCTGGGCGACCTGCTGCGCAACGTGACCGAGGACCCGCTCAAGTACCACGCTCTCCACCTGCTCCCGAGCCTCGTCGACCTCTCTGTCCTCATCCCCGCCTTCTCACCCGACATGCTGCCCAACGTACGCCTCCATGACACACCACACGCGCACCGTCGCACACGCACACGCACCGCCGCACACGCGCATGACACATATGTGTGCGGCGGCCCGGGGCAGTTTTTGGTGGGCTACGGGCAGGTGATGAGCACGTTTCCGTCGACAAAGCCGGCGGTGGCGCAGTTCTTGGCGCGGTGCCACGTCAGGCTGCGGGCGGACCTGCAGGACCGCGTGCTGCGCAGCTGCGCGGGCCTCTTCCAGCAGCTGCTGGCCGACGGCGACTGGACCGTGTGCGCTGAGACCATGCAGAGCTTCCAACATTTTGCACAATTCATACCTTACCCCCTCGAGAGCATTCAGGTACGACAACACGCGCCTTTTTCTCCCGTCTGCCTTGCATCCGCCGCTGACACCACACCACACGCACACAACACACGGCACAACGCGCAAACAGGGGCTTCTATCGTCCGAGTGCCGGACGATGTTAATTCATTTTCTGAGCGGCCACCCGATTGCGCTCTCCAAGGACCAGCAACCCGTGCGTGCGCCGTTCAACGGCCGTTGTGTTGTCTGCGTGTGTGTGGCTTCTTCATCTAATCGCTGCACACACACACTCTCTCGATTTGTCGCCACGACACGACACACAGATGGACGACGCCCAAGTGGCCGACCACGTCGCAGCAGGGCTGGCCAACTACACCAAGGAGCGACTCGCCCAGGCCCAGGTACTCTCTTTACCCTGTCTCTGACCACTCCACTCGTAGAGAGTACTGACCACAGACTCAACCGCACACGAACGACGCGCGCGTGTGTGCCAGGCCTGCCTGCTGGGGAGCAGTTCGGCGTCGGGCCAGGAGTCGGTGGAGAAGGCGCTGGCGCTGCTGGCCAAGGCCGCGGCCATCGTGTCCACGCTGCCGCCCTCGGCCCTCTCCTCGCACGCCCCGCAGTTCCAGGCCCAGCTTGGCCAGCTCTGCCAACTCCTGCCCCCCGCCGACCCAGCCACCGTCGTCATCAACCTCGAATGAACACAAAAGCTGAACCGAGCAACGTTGGCTTGTTGTCTGCCAAACGAAAAAAAGAACAGAAGAAGATGCGGAAGACCAAGAAGAAGAAGATGGGGGAGAGATGAACCACCACCCGACGCTTGCCGCCCCCGCAGCAGCTGAGGCGTAGGACGACGTGTGCACGACGTGTTCCTCAAGTTTGCTCGCCTTCAGCGCGAGCGAGGCCGACCGCGTGCCGCGGCTGCTCAAGTGCAGCCACTCCTTCTGCACCGCGTGCCAAAGAATGAACATTCTTGTCTCAATCACGCTTTACCACACCTGAACCCGTTTGTTGCCACTATCAGCCACAATGATGTGCCCTGTCGCTGCATCAACCGTCACGCCCGTTGGCCAGTTGAGCTGGGCGGGGCCGCCACCCTTGGAGCCGAAGGTGCCAAGGAAGGAACCGTCATCGGCGCGCCACACGTGCACCGGATGGTTTTCGCTGTCGGCCACGAAGATGTGGCCCGCCTTGTCGACCGCCACGCCGCGCGGGCAATTGAACTGGCCGGGGCCGGAACCGCGGGAGCCGAAGGTGCGGACGAAGGACCCGTCATCGGCGCGCCGCATGTGCACCGGATGATTGTCGTAGTCGGTCGCTACGATGTGGCATGATCCACCGCCACGCCCCACGGGCTCCGTAACTGCCCGCCCGAACCTAGAGTGCGGAAAAAGCGGACGCAGGATCCGTCGTCGGCGCGCCACACGTGCACCTGATCGCTGTCGCAGTCGGCTGCGACGATGTGGCCCGCTGCCGCGTCGACCGCCACGCCACATGGGCTTCCGAACTTGTTACCCGAACGGAGAGTGCGAATGGCCAAGGAGGTGGGCGAGGCACGCGGTGCCGAAGGAGTGGCTGCACTTGAGCCGCCGCGGCACGCGCTTCTTTCTTTTTCGGTGGACAAGACGTCTTGGGCTAAGCTTGCAACCAATTGCTCTTCAATTGCCAATCGCAATTAATTGGTTTTCACCCCGCCAGAGCATTCAGGTCCAACGACGCCTAAGTGCCCATGTCGCGACAGGCTTGCCAACGACACCAAGGAGCGACTCGCCCATGCCCACCAGTACACCCTGGCGCCTGCGAAGAACACCAAGCCGAATGCGTGTAGTGCCATTGGTCGTGCGTGTCGTGCATATCGTGTGGGGTTTACGAGCGAGGGAGTGCGCCGAAGAGGGTTTGGAGGACGTGGGCGTAGACGTAGGCCTGCACCTCGGCCAGCACCCGCTCGGCCCGCCGCAGCACCTCGGGTCGGATCTCGGCCGCGCCGTGGGCGTCGTACTGCGCCCGCTGGCCCGCATCGCTCAGGCACGCGAACGCCTCCGCCATCACCTTGAACGCTTCTTCGCTCGCCGGGTGCGCGTTCTTGTCGGGGTGCAGCTTGAGGGCCATCTGCACACAACGACACACGACACACGACACACGACACGCACAGACAAAATCACTAAATTAGTTTTATAAAACAATTAAGAATAAGCCTAGAAATAGAATTAGAATTAGAATAAAAGCCTAGAAATAGAATAATTTAAAAAATAAATGAGGAGGAGCGCACGGTGCGGTATTGCTTGGTGATCTGGGCAAGGGCGGCGTCGGGGGTCAGACCGAGCACGGCGTAGTAGTCGCCCGCGCACCCCAGGATCCGCTCGATCGACAGGAGGTCGTCGCCGCCCGCTGACGGTGGTGGCTTGGGGCGGCGCCAGTCGAGCTTGCAGCCCTCGGGGACCAGCACGTGGAGCAGGTGCGGCGAGTTGCGGACCTCAGGGAACATGAGCCCGCGGCACGACTCCATGTTCACCCACACCAGCGACCCGCTCTCGATTCGCGGACTCGTCAGCCGATGACACCCTCTGCCAAACGCACACGCACACGCACACGCACCACCGCACACGTTCATCAAAACGGCACTCGCACACGACACACACGAAACGACACGCATGCATGAAGGGGGGAGGGTGCAAGTACGCGAGGTCGAGTTCCTGGAGTTGGGGGCTGCGCTCGAGCAGCCACTGCACGGCGAGGTCGTTGAGCCGCGCGCAGTCACACAGCGATAGCTTGACCAAGTACGGCGAGCACAGCTGCGGATAGATCTATCGACGCGGCTCAATGGCGTGAGCAATCACGACACGACACGGCACGCACAATGCGAACGACACGCACAACACACAACACATGGCACAGTACACCAACACATCGCACGAGGCTGGCATACGAGGCTGGAGCAACCGACGATGGAGAGTTGAGTGAGGAGCGGGCACTGCTTGAGCGGCTCGAACATGAGCTCCATGGTGGCGTCGTTGAACTTGTCCCGGTACGGATACCGGCTGATGCTCTCCGCCACCTCCCTAGCGTGCAGTGCGTGCGGTCGTTGAGCACATATGACGCGCACAGCACACACAGCACACTCGGCACACATGGCACACACAAGACACGACACGACACGACACTCACGGCACACACGACGCGAGATGGGGGGGAAATGGTACGCGACGAGGGTTGGATCAGAGGCGCAGAGCGGGAAGAACCAGGCGAGGGCCTGGGCAAAGGTGGTGTGGGGCGCCACCGCGAAGAGCAGGCTCGACGCGCCCGCCGCGGCCTCGGCCACCACCGCCTCGAACAGCGCCGCCCACACGCGTCCCACCAGCCCGCGCGGCATCGCGGCCAGCGCCCCGCGCACCGCAGCCGCCGCTGCTGCCACATCGTCGTTGCGTGGCTTGACCAGCGGCAGCACCACCGACTCGGCCACCTGCGCCAGGCACCGCTCGCACAGCGTTGGCACCGCCTGTGGTGGTCCCGAGCGCAGCAATGGCGGTGGCGCCGATGGTGGTGGTGAGTCGTCGGTGGCGTGAGGTGCGCCTGGTGGGTGGTCCACGACGCTGGTGGTGGCCTCTGCGGGCGGCACTACGACTACGGCACAGTGTGAGGGAGCAGGGGGCAAAGAGGGGGCAAGGGTGGTGGCGAGTAGTGGGAATGAGGGCAATGGTACCACGGTGGAGGGGAGGTGATGATGGAGCGGTTGGGCTGGGGTTGGGGTTTGTGGTGTGCAGCAGGGCGTCGATGGCTGCGGTGAGGTCACCCTGCAGACCATGCAAAACATCCGTAAGCACGTCTGGGTCGTGCCCAGGAAACAGCTCCCGCAACACGTCCATCTTCTTCTGAAAACGAGAGGTCTTCTTTTCTGATATGGCTTTATTTTCCTGCAGTTTTGAGCATTTTCTCCCTTTTTTCTTGATTTTATGTTTGTCATCAGCCAGCTTGCGGCCTTGGTCTTAGTCTTTACTCCTCATGTGTTGGTCACATTCGTTCCTGTTACCACACCTAAACCCGATGGTTGCCGCCGACGATGATGTGGCCCATCACAGGGTTGACTGCCACGCCCGCTGTCATCGTGGCAGATAACGGCAACCATCGGGTGCACGCCCTCGTGCACTCCCACCCGTCGAACACCCTCTCGCGCTGCGCCGCTGCCTCGCGCATCCGCTCAAAGTTCTGCTTGATGGCCGCCTGTGTCCTGCGCTCTCGTTGCTCTCTCGCCTCGCGCTCCGCCTGGCGCTCCACTGGGCCTTGCCAATGGCGAGCTCGACCTGCGCGGCCTCTTCGATGGTGAGGGCGTCGTGGCCTTTGTGCGGTCCCGCCACGAGGCACACCATGCACAAGGCCACGCCGTCGCGCTTGCACCACATCTCCACCTTCTTGGCCCGGTGGTGCTCGCACGCGGCGCGCGGCTCAGGCCCGTCGGCCGATGCCACGCGCACGTGGCTCCGCAGCCACCGCACGACTGAGCTCGAGCAGGCCGCCGCGGCTGCTGCTTGTGGTCGCGGGCCGGGGAGGAGGAGAGGAGGTCGATGAGGTCAAAGTTGCGTGGCAGGCCCTTCACGCCCTCCGCCGCGGCTTGGTGGCGCTGGCGGTGGCGGCGGTGAAATTAGCTGCATCGCAAATTTTCACCACAAGGCGGGAATTTAGGTGCTGCAGCAGCACGTGACGTCAGCAAACGGCCAGCCACCCAGCATCAGCGTCTATTTACCAGCGCGCGCGATAGGCGCCCGAGGCGAGCACCACATTGCGCGTCCACCCGCGAGCGTCCAGCTGCCCCCACGAAGGTCGCGTAGTGCGCCT